GCTCCCGAGTACACGGACACCGGCGAACCTGCCCGTGCTCCAGCGCTGTGCAGCTGCTGCCCTCACGCATTTTTTGCTTTACGCTACACCTTCGCCCCAAGACGCCACATTGCCATGTCTCCCCTGCCTTTAATCCCAACAAGCGACCTAAATCATGCTTAAAAAAAATCAATTTTAAATAATAATTCTTAAAAAAAACTATTTTTCTTTACACGGACACCGGCGAACCTGCCCGTGCTCCAGCGCTGTGCAGCTGCTGCCCTCACGCATTTTTTGCTTTACGCTACACCTTCGCCCCAAGACGCCACATTGCCATGTCTCCCCTGCCTTTAATCCCAACAAGCGACCTAAATCATGCTTAAAAAAAATCAATTTTAAATAATAATTCTTAAAAAAAACTATTTTTCTTTTTTTTTTTTCCCCCTCAGGGCCATGGCAGAGGCATGGGGTCTGCTCGCCCCACGCCCCCCTGTTCCTCTGCTGCTCCCCTCAGGCTGCCTGGCGGGTGGCCTGGCTGGGCTGGGGGAAAGGTGGCGGTGGTGTTTGTAGGGAGGGAACTTCCCTGAGGTAAAACACGGCTCACCGAACGTCTGTAAGTAGGCGAGACCGTCTCTGTTAACTGTGCGTGGGTTTTGGGGTGCAGGTCCCTGGTTTTAGGCCCCTAGCCCGAATTTTGGTGGGCGGTGAGGGGGAGCACTATGGAGGGCAGCGGAGAACGCGGCCTAGCTGGTTGTTTGGCCTAAAGGTCTGTCATAGCCCAGCTAAATCCTGCCCAAAAGCACAGTTAAAAGACTAAATATAACCCACTCCCTCAAATACTGTATTCTGAGGAAAAAACCCAGCTTGGGCTGAGGTGAAAACACCCACATACTGGCGTTTCCCCTCTGGCCAGACCCTGAAGGGATGAGCCCAGGCCCTGCCCTCCCTCACACAAAAAAATCCCCGTCGCCATCAGCAGTGGGATCAGGATTCCCACTTGCTTTCCACTCACATATCTTCACCGATTTAGGTGCTTATGGCACTGGTTTACACTACCAATCTGATGTAAAGCCTTTAGCATAAGTAAAAATACGGATTTTGTAAATTGGCAGCGTAGGCCGGGGGGGTAACAAGTACTAATATAGCTGCATGCTGCGCTTGTTGCTCTAAGGTTTGTCATCCCTCGCTTAAACTTGTATTTTTTTATTTGTGCTGACAAGGAAAAAGAGAAAATTGAAAAAAAAAAAAAAGGAATAAGGAAAGTGCCCTGTCGAGTTTATATTTGAAGCGATTCATTTTATGCTCTTTGTGAGGAAGCAGGGAAACGGAAATGTTCCAAAGCAATCTCCAAAGTAAACAACCTTTTGCAATAAATGTTTGCCAAATGCTAACACAGGGCTCAGAGAAAGATCACCAGGAAAGCGCATCCATTAGCAGGAGTTTAGCGACTGCTTAAGGACAAGAAACATTCTAGGGGTGGGTTGAAAATTGATGCTTTCTGCCTTGTAAACAAATTAGCTTATAGCAACAAATAAGATGACCCTTCTTGGCTAATATTATGAGTTTAGCTTGTTAAATATTTAACATTTACCTTTCAATTTTCCAGTCTGGATCAAGCAGTTCCCTAAACAAGTGGTATCCCAGCAGCAGATGGAGATGCACAGACCATTGCCCCGCTCTGGCTGAACTCCCTACGAAATAAAAAAACCCACGTTAAGGCAAAGAGGGAGCAAATGGAGACTTTTTCAGTAAAGTCTCTCTAAGCTTTGGCTTTGAAACTCGCAGCTTGTACTCATTTTTATTTACATTCATTTTATCTAGCTCTGCTCTAAATCGAAATAGTGGTAATCAATTAAACTTCCGTCAGGTTGAGTAGAAACAGACTGGGATTCACCGAGTCCTTCTGAAAACTTCTCTTCTGGCAAAGTATTTTTATTCTCCGGTATAACACAATCGCAGACCCAAGGTAAGATTTTTGGAAAACACTTCAAGATGCCATAAATCCTTACGGTACAGTTCTGCTAAAGACAGTAAGGGGAGTGGGGGAGGAACATAAAGTGTCATAGGACCACAACATTATTTCTAAAGTAAAGTATCAATCAGATTTAGCCTATCTTGAACAAAGAGTAGTGGTGCCCTGTTTATAAACAAGAGTTTATAAACTTAGTGTGTTGCACACAAGGAATTTGTCGTCTTGAATCCAGTCTGGTGGATTTCCACTCACTTGAGACTTTGCTTTGCTTTTCCAAGATAAACATTTTGTTAATGTAACTGTATGTTTATCTGTAGGTGGTTTCCTGATTGTTCTTAAAGGTGTTACAGCAGCTTTCTGTCTCTTGCCCGAGCGGCGTAAAATCCTAATGAAACGCTGATTTTAGAAGCAGCTACATTCGCTCATGAGCCTTGTGAAAGTTTAAGCTCCTTTAGCCAGCGAGACTTATACCAGACCGAAATTAAACATGCTTCCAGTGAAGTCCAACTTCCTTAAGTGTACAATGCAGACTCTATCCAGCGCACGAGCACGAGTCAGCCAAACCCATTGGTAACACTTGGAATGAAATGCCCCATATTCTCTCAGTTGTCCGTACAAACAGTGCTTCCATTGTGGATGTGGTAATTTGGCTCGGCGGCACATTAGGGAGGTCTGGCTTGCGTGCTTTCGCAATAAATATGAAGGATGTTTGGAACTTGTTTTCTGTAATTTTGGTAAATTTTTAATCTTTGAGACAATGAGGTCTATTCTCCGAGTGTATTTCCCACTGATGGTAACTGGGATGTTGCACTGCAGCTTGGACGGGTTCCAGCTGTGTTACTACCAGCGCTGCCAGCTCCTGTAATTATACTGCAGCACACACTCTCGTTGGCAATTTCCCTGAAGCCTCAGCTGCTGGAATCAAGAAACGTCGTGAAAAACCTCCGTTAAAAAAAAAAACTCAACTCTCACTGTGGCCTGACAATGTGAAGCATATTCTAGCGACTCACAAACCCGGAGGCAAATCAAAAGAACATACTTAGTGATCTTTTAAGGCTCAGTACTTGTCAGGCCCTCCTGATTTTGGGAAAGCCAGAGTCCCTGAATTTTTTCCCATAGCAACACTGTATCCTTCATCGTATACCACACACAGTCATTATAGGAAACGAAGCCATGTCTCACCTTAAATGCTGCAGGAAAAATTGGTTTGAATCATCACTTTCCTCCTTTTAATCTTTTTTTTGGTCACACACAAGCATGTGCAGAAATAGTTAGGACTCCAAAAGAATCAAGTAACCTGACAATCATTTCAGTAACAACCTTATAACTTTTTCCTATTAATAACTGGTGCAACAAGGTAAAAGAATGTTGTTAATTACTGTAGCTTGTAGTGATGCAATACTTCCTCAAGTGTTTCCTTTCAGAACTCTTTTCCTAACTTTCTGATGTCCCATTATTATGATATCCCCCACTGCTTTTATCTTTTCCCAAGATCAGCTGAATACTCCATTCTCTGACACATGGAATTAGGAAATCATTAATAAACTGCACTAAATGCAAACAAAAAATTATCCTATGCACGTGACAAGATTTTCCCACTCCATCGCTGCGTACAATGGAGTGATTTCCTCTTGGCCTAGTTGTGGGCATGGTATTTTACTCCTCTGAAAACAAGACTTCCATTTCTTCTCTCCAGGTTAAATTTCTGGCACTAGCAGGACCATGACGTCCACCACAGGGACCAGCTACATCTTGATTTCTAACCAGAAACGCAGACGCAGCAACCGTCTCTCCAGACAGTGCTGCGACACCTGTGACACGGATTCTCAGTCTCTGTCAACACTCGGATACTTTAAAACACTTCCACTGGAGATCTTTCAGATGGTATTGAGTTATCTTTCAGGTGAGAATTGGAGAAGAAAGGTGAGACTTCCAGTGTCTGAAAACGACCACAGAAATTTTCCATTTAGAAAAAAGCCATTATAATTTGAAATGTTTTACCTTTTAGCTAGCTAAAGTAATTTCATGTGACTGATTCTCTGAGTTGTCAGCTTTTATGTATGAAGAACCAAACGAGCAAAATTTAAAACTTCATTACAAACTATTGAAGTGCTTTTCTCCTATTACATGTGAAAAGTATTCCTTAGATCTATCCATTTCTCATCATTACAGTTCCTTGGCAAAGGAGCTACACAGTAATTAAATTTTGCATTATTTGTAAACCTTATTTCTTGGGCAATTTTTGAAGTCAGATAAAGTTACCGACTAGCCAGCAGCATTTTTCTCGCAGCACGGATTTACGAGTATACTGGGTTTTGCTTTTTCAGTGAAGGATATCAGCATGCTGAGCATGGTGTCGAAAACCATCAGCAACCGCCTTATTCATTACATCTCCACCCCGTCAGGAAACCGAAGGCTCTTACTGCAAGACTTTCATAACCCTGAGCTACCTGGCCACAGAGAAGGATCCTATATTTTAGAGCACTACAAATCTCTAGGTGATCCTTTAATGCAAATGGTAACAATTAGGGGGGAACCAAACTCCGTTAAAACGTTTCTTCTGTTATATGCATTGACGGGTAAAACGCTGAGGTTACGGCCCAAAGCGTCTGTGCAGCTCCCTCTGAAAGTGAAGTTCCTCCCCGTGCCAAACAGCCCACTCAAATACCATCAACCAGCAGGGGGAATTACCTGAAATGATGCCAAAACCTCTTCATTCTGGAAAAAATAATGTATGTTCTGCCTCCTCTTTTTAATGGCAAGCAGGAGCTGGGCAGAGGACCAGTTCTCAGTAGTAGGTGTTTCCAAATTTAGTTTGTTTGGACACCGCCGCTGGAAACTGCAGCAGAAACCAAGACTCCCAGGCCCCACACTAGCCGAAGGAATTCGGCTGTTCGGGCTGCCTTCGCGTATCGCTTGGAGTAGCTCGCATTCCTCAGTCTGGGAATTGTAGCCGCAGCGTTTAAACCCGGCCTAACCCTAAGGAGGCCGACAGTTGCCGTCAGCAAGCCTGCTCGGTAGCGTGCTGGAGGTGAACTGCAGTGCACATTCCGCTCCTTACGGATGAAGGAGGTTCCTCATGAACATGCTATCCCAGTTCTCAGTGACTTTTCATCCTTCTCGGCACCTTTGTATCAGAGCTCAAAGACCACCGTAGGCAGGAAGAACCCCTTTCCCTCTCGCTCTTAGATTAAGGGCGACGTGAAAACGACTCTTGTTTTGCTGCCGCGGCCTACTGCGTGCTAACCAAACCCCCTCTGTGGGACCACACTCACCTGCTCTTTCCTTCACCTCCTAATAGAAATCTAGCCCAAAATAACGTACGTTCCAGGTTAACGCGTCCTTACACTCAAAATCGCTCCTCAACTTTTCTGCTACATATCAGATCGCGTTGAGTCGAAGTCACCCGGCCTCTCAGGCAGGGGTGAAGCATTTTTTCTTACACGTTAGAACCCCGAACATTCCCTTCACTCACCTGCTGTCGGTGTTCTTCTACAGAGAAGCACATGAACTTAAATCCCACTTTGATCCATATCAACTTGCTGTTACCTAGCTGATTAAAAAAATGCTTTATTTGACAGAGAAATAAAGTGATGTCATGGTTAGATGCAGAATTAGAAGTAATGTTTGAACTTAAGACATTAATTAAAGCCATATGGGAGGTAAAGGGATGCTCTTAAAGTCATTTAAATCTACTAGATGATCTTTAAGGTCCCATCCAACCCTAACCATTCTATGATTCTATGATTTTAGATCGAAGGCGACGTATTGCAAGTGATCCACACAGGTTCTAAGGTGTCTTAAAATAATCCCAGTAGTTTCTTTTTAAAATTAAGCCTGAAAGCCTGCAATTCTTAAAAAAAAATATATAAATTAAAATCAGTTTGGGCTAGTAACCACAGACAAACCGGCGGGTTGTTGTTTAGATGCAGGTGTGAACCCACCGCTGCAGTAGGCCAAGTAGTAAAAAGATGCCATAGTCAAAACGTAAAGATCATGGGCAATAGCTGTGTCAGGGATGGAAGGCTCAAGGGAACGTTTGTGTTAAGAGATCAGTTGAAAAATCAATATTTACTTTCATGTAGGGAAGACAGGACTCAACGGCAAAAATTCAGCCCTGCTCAGAGCGCCTGAGCAGGGTCTCCAAGTGACACAAATCTCCTGCGAACTCAGAGGGGTCTGGCTCCACTCACATCCATGTAGCATCTCCCAGTACTTGGGACGGGCTCAGGATTTCAGTCCTTAAGATGGACCTGAGTTACAAATGATCTGGACCCTGTCCTTCCGCACCGGGGGGAGGGGGGGTTCACTGTGCAAAACCAGGAGCAGAACCTTTTCCTCAGCCCTTTTTACTCAACATCATTTTCCCCCACACTGCTGGCTCTATCTTTTTTGCAGCTACACTGTCCCAAACGTTTAAACTCTTCCCTGGGGACTTCTCTCCAAAGTCTCATCTAGTCCATAGAAAATTGACTCGGCTGAGCTTCGGACCATGTCCAAGGCTGATGAATGAATCCTGGCTGTCGT